ATGCTTTTGACTTCAATCATGTTTTCAAAATCAGTGATGTTCGCCTACAGAGAAAGCCTAATGAATTGGCTAATTAGATGATTAATCATTAAAATCTAATCAGATGATCCCCGGATTATGTTCAGCCTAAACATCAATATTAAGCAATCTCCCTCAATAAATTTTGCATAATCATGATGAGTAAATTCATGAATAAAGTAGTAATATTACAGAAAATAATAATAATAATGATACATAACAATGAATAGTAATAATAATAACAATGATAGTAATTATAATAACCTAATAATTNAAATTATCATCTAAGTCATTGTTGTTATTGTTTTTTATTACTATTGTTATAATTATCATCATCATAAATACTTTTATTTTCCTTATCATTGCTATTATTATTATCATCATGATTTCCACCATCATTGCTTTTATTGATATTATTATTTGTGCAATTATATCTATTATATATTATTATCATATATTATTATTTGTGCAATTATATATATATTATTATATTAAATTATTTTATTGATATTATTATTTGTGCAATTATAAAATAACTTCTATCTTCCTTATCATTGCTATTATTATTACTATCATCATTATTTCCACCATCATTGCTTTTATTGGTATTATTATTTGTGCAATATGTACTATTCTAATTAATGCAATCAGGAAGCCATTGTAATGAATATTGCATTGTGTTGTAATTAAATCCTGAATACGTAAAAGTATTAATATCTTATTGAATCATCAGTAATTTGTTAATATTCAAATCAGCTTGATATTAGATATTCAAGCATATTATGTACATTTAAATCTTTAATAGTTTCCTCTTAATGGGTTATGTTGAGTATCTCGTATATTTAAAAACATTATGGTATAAATGTTAATGATACAATATATATCCAATTATGTGCTGACGTGTAATCTTCATAAAAAAGAATTTATGATTTAATTTGCGTAAAGTAAGATCGTTAGAGAAGATAATGTTATAATAAGGGAATCTTGACCATAGATATATATATATATATATATGTAGATATTAGTTTGAACTTTTGTTGGGTTGACGACACCGCTTTAGAAACCACATAGACCTTTAAAAAACTTTCCCTAAAGTAAATGTTTATAAAGGGAAAGAGAATGGACTTTAAAAACTTTCCCTAAAGTAAATGTTTATAAAGGGAAAGAGAATGGACTTTAAAATCTTTCCCTAAAACAAATGTTTATAAAGGGAAAGAGAAAACATGGTGACTTTAAACATTTCCCTAAAATATTGAAGTCTCCCCTCGAGTGGCAAGCTTAGGGGACAGACGTAATTGGCATGCAGCATTTATCATCATAGAGCAATTATGGGAGCAATTGCTTTACCCTCCATTATTTTTTTTAACGCGTGATATTAAAGTCTGATCTTGTTGGGATACAAAGTTTTTTTTTTTTTTTTTTTTTTTTTTTTTTTTTTTAAGGGGGGGGGGGATAAAATGGCAGAGATTCTTTGTTCAGTTTATGATGTTTTGAGCTTATGTTGTTTTTTGTCTTTGTTTTTTTTAAATGATGTTTTGAGTGTATGTTTTTTTGTTTTTTATTTTTTAAATATCGTCTGGTTGTTTTTTGTTGTGTCTGGATATTAAGATGGTGTTTGGAGATGATTGAGGTGTGTTTGTTTGTTTGTCTGAGGTTTTATCTCTTTTCTTATCCGTCCCTTCCTCTCTCTTTCTTTCGTTCGCCCCTCCTCTCTCTCCTTCTCTCCCATTCTCTGTATTTGGTTCCTTTTTTATTTCTATCTATCTCTATTTATCTATCCATCTATTCATTACGCTCTCTCTCTGTCTCTGTCTCTCTCCCTCCTTCCCTCTCTCTCCCTCCCTCCCCCTTTCCCCTCTCTCTCTCTCTCTCTCCCCCCCCCCCTCTCTCTCTCTTCTCTCCCCCCCTCTCTCTCTCTCATCCCTCCCTCCTCTCTCCTTCCCCCCCTCCCTCCCTCTCTCTCTCCCTCCTCCCTCCTCCCTTCCTTCCTCTCTCCTCTCCCTCCCCTCTCTCTCTCTCTCTCTTCTCTCTCTCTCTCTCTCTTCCTCCCTCTCTCTCTCCTCTCCCTCCTCTCTCTCTCCCTCCCTCCTCTCTCTCTCTCACTCCTTTCCTCCCTCCCTCCTTCCCTCCCTCCCTTCTTCCCTTTCTCTCTCTCTCTCTTACCTCTCCAAGCCAGTCCCTATCCCCTTCCATCTGCCAAAACAAAAGTTAATACCAGTATTATTCGCTTCATCGCACTCCGGGCCTGAGTACTGCAAGGTCACGTTCACCCTCACTCTTGTCTTAAACGTGTTCAGCGGATGCGAATGGTCAACCGGTCGTTTCCGTCGACGGCTTCCATCGGCAGGCAGAAAAGGGGTTACTGTTTCGGGTCCCGCTCAGTCGTGCTTCGGCCTTGGTGGTGTGAGGACGTGCGCGCGCTCGAGCTCCTGGCGTGAGAGAGAGACACCCCGCTCGCGCTCTCCGGTCCCCCAGTTGCATT